CTATAAACATAATATATAAATCCATGTATATCAGAGCAATAAACATAATATATAAATCCATGTATATCAGAAATACGAATATAATCTTGTCAATAATATGGCATGGTGTTATATATTTCTCTGGCGAATTGTATTCATATATGTACCCAAGTTTAATGCCAAGCTTTATAGTTTTCTTTGTAATCAGCAAAGCAATAGAAAAAAAGAACTAGCAAAACAATTTGTCAAAATTCATACTCACAAGGAAACATATCTTTAAACCGATTTTTGTCTTTCTTTACGGCTCCCTTTCCGCATTCATGTGAGTGTTTTAGTCCTGTAGGAAATTTCTATTAAAATAATCCATAATCTATTTAATAGTTAGTTCATTAGTCTTGAAAATATGAGTACGGATTTGAATTCTTGGGAAAATGATTAACGCCTTAGCCGAAACGACGTAAGTTTCGCCCAACCCTACCCCTCGAAATTTTCTCTCAACCGTTATATCTTACTGAATAGTGCGTTTGCTTAATTTGTCTATCAAACAGTTAATAACGCTAAGCAGGGCTTAAACAAAACATGCCAGCAAAAACTGTTTTCAAGTTATGTCAATTATTTACGTAACATGGTTGCAATTGATATACAAATTGTAAGACAAACTAGATTTATTTTCATTTTCATTTTTTTACAACGAATTGATATCTTTAAATCATTGGAATTCGCAACAGACCCTCCACGAAAAAAGTGGAATAGATTTAATTATATATCAATTGGTAATCAGGATTTGAAACCATAAAAAGAAAGTAATTAAAGCTCTCTTAGAATGCATGTGCCTGTCACTTTTTTTTACAGCTTCATTTACGTTTGTTGCCTGGATATTTTCTTAAGTAATTAGCATTTTAAGTTCATTGTACTTGATTCGTTTGTACTTACCGCGTATTCTTCCTTGAAAGCACCGGACTCCTTCTTGAACGCTATAACCTCTGTTAATTCAGAAATATTGATTTTAGTATCAATAGTTGCTACATAGTTAGAGTAAACATTTTCTGAATGGTCCATATCCTCAGACATATTGTCATCGGTTTCTTCAAGGTATGTGCTCAGATGTGAAGCTATACTTCCTACTGAAATCCCGTCATCGACGTTTTTATAGATATTTTCTCCCTTCGGCCCTTCCTCTTCATTTATAAATGAATATATTGATTTGTCATTTGTTGTTATTAAATCACCGCTCATTTTTGTCGTGTTCTTATCTTCTTTTAAATCTTGCACGTTCGGAGAAACGATGTCACAGACTTCACTGGTATCTACAAATAAATGATAGAAACGTAAGTGCAACAGATATGGTAATTTTGTTTTATTTCATTTCTAGGGGGTATACTGATTCATCTAAGTAGGATGTAGTTTCACTGTGTCAGGTAACAATTAATCCAACAGACAGGTAAGGAAGAGTTGCGCTTACAAGGTTTCTGTGGCAAGTTTTAAGGGCCATAACTTCAGGAAAAATATTCGAATCACAAATTCCGTTATTCAAGCACAATTACATTTGATATACTTTTACTGTGCCAGGCTACAAAATAATCAACATTTAAGAAGAAGATGCACTTGTAAAAAAGGGAACATATTCAGTTATTTCTGTAGGCTTAACGGAATGGTTAAATGTTAATTATCACGATAGGTCAATTTTAATTATCATTATCGGATTAATTCTCAAAATATGTTTTGGCAACCTAATGATCCATATCAAATATGTGACAGTAATACGCCTCTATTCAGAACTATATGTTGATCATAAATGATACCATGTAGATATTTTTTTCACTTCCACCATGCATTAAATATCAGAAATCACATTTAGGAATAAAGGAATAATGCTTTCAATCCATGGATTTATTTTCTTTCTTACTTGACCTAGTAAGTCAAGTGAGACAAGAATCGCATGTAGTTTACTTTACTTCACCAGACCATGACACACCCAGATGAACACTCATTGCTGAATGAACGGAAACAGAAAGCAGGTTTATGTTCATATTAACCAATTTTGAATAATCAGTATTATTAACAAATATTTATTAAACATTCTTCATTTTCAGAATTTGAAGATGTTATCGTAATTTGTGTTCACATTAAACATATCATTTATCTGTTGGTATGAGCTAGTGAAACCAAACCTTACAAATATGTCATCTTAACCATGACGAAGCCAAAAGGGCGAAGCAAATATAAATACCAACTAAATTTAGGATGGGTACGCAATGGTACATATACGTTGAGTTTGCTATCAAATATGTTCAATAATATCGGCATTTCAGCAATTTCATTTTGATTTTTACTTTTCATTTATGAAAAAATATAAACTTACCAGTTTTATGAAACTCTACCGATCTTTCAACTGAAGACTTCCTTCTTCTTAAGAAAGGAAATGCAAATATAGTATGGTGTTAATATAATTATGGCGAAACAATTTACTGTAATTAAATCATTTAACGAATATTAATGCTGTCAAAATATAAGTCAAATATCAAGTGATAACTAATGAAGTCTGGTACATGTTCTTCGTTCCATCTTATATACCTGCGGCTTTGATGTTGTCACTAATACTATTCTAATATCAAAAACATACAGTATATAATGATCTATAAAACACAGCTTAAACTCCTCATATATAACAACGGAACAGTGTATTACTGTCTCTATAAAACGTTTATATACCTCAAAATTACATTATATGAATGTCTCTGAAACGAAGCTTATACCCCTAAAATATAACAACCGTACACTATATGGTTGTCTATAAACCATAGCCTATAACCCTCACATATCACAACTTTACATTATATAAATGTCTCTGACGCACAGCTTATACCCCTCAAATAAAACACAACCGTACATTATTTAATGTCTCTGAAAGACAATTTATACCCCTCAAATATCACAACGGTACATTATATAAATGTCTCTGAAACACAGCTTATACCCCTCAAATATCACAACCGTACATTATATAAACGTCTCTGAAACATAGCTTATACCCCTCAAATATCACAACCGTACATTATATAAATGTCTATGAAACACAGCTTATACCCCTCAAATATCACAACCGTACATTTTATAAATGTCTATGAAACACAGCTTATACCCTCACATACAACAACCGTACATTATATGGTTGTCTATAAAACATAGCCTATTAATTACGTTAACGTCTTACGGGTTTAATAGTGGGTTAGAAATGATATTGTCTTAACTTGATTATCTGTCTACCTGAAAGGCCTACAAAACTGATTTAAAGGTCTTACCTGTGGTGTATTATGAATACTGCAATCAGAACAATTGCCGCAATAACGAGCACACCGCCCGCTGCAGCTCCGATAGTTGTCGACATATTTTGGGCGACTGGAACTGTTAAGATACAGCAAATATATTCACGATTTTAGAAAACTATCTTTGTGGTGTTATTTCAAGAACGAACACAGTAATCAAATGTCTGCCAATATTTTGTAACTTAAAAAATATTAAGTGTTTTGGTAATTTTTCAGGATTAATGCGTTCTGAAATTTTAAAACAAAAAATAAATACCACCAATGAAATCCAATTAAAATAGCAGGGCCCGGATAATAAATTGAACAGTTTTGAACCATCCTAGGTATCTGTCATAAAGCTAGCATTTAGTATAAAAACGTTTACTAGTTTCGCTTTGCTGCTTATCGTCTAAAAGGGAAGCTAGTGCTGCCTATATATGTATTTAAACACTCGCGTAAATATCGTGCAACAATATTGAGAGATTGTTTT